TTTCTGAAGAAGGGTCTAGGCCCGAAACATCAGCTTTCCTGCTCCTCTGATGCTGCTTGGCCTGCTGTGTTCATCCAGCTCTACACCTTGTTATCTCTAATACCTGCAATGGTTGGATTATCTTATGAAGAGCAATTAGTCAGGCTAGGCTTGTAACTGCTGGAATTGAGAAGGTAACTGGATTGAAACATATCAGAATCTGAGCAGTCTTAACACGGTGGATATGGAAAGGGTGCTTCCTCTTGTAGGAGAATCTAAAATTGCACAGTCACAATTTAAATATAAGAGGTCATCCATTTAAGATGGAGATGAGGAAACTTTTTTTCTCACTTTTGGATCTTTGGAACTCTCTTCCTGAAAAGGCAGAGGAAGTTGAAGCTTTAAATGTTTTTAAGTCAGAGGTGCATAGATTCTTCATAAACAGAGAGGGGGGGATGGTGGCAGATAGAAGTGAAAGGTTATTGGGGTAGGCAGGTCAAATAACCTGATCAGCCCTGATGTTGTTGAATGGCAGAGACTCAAGAGGCTGAGTGATCTATTCTTGTTGCTGATTTGTCTGTTTCTTTGTGTTCTTTCTGGATTATACTTGTGGATCTCCTTTGTTGTCAGAGGTCAGGAAACAGATCTGAAAAAAAACTGCGGATGCCAGTAATCTGAAATTGTCTGTTTATGCGAAATAGATAGATTTATAGTGGACATTTTGGGGGACTCAAACTGGTGTGAGCAGTTCTCTGCCAAGTATCTAAAGGCTAATTTCTTTTGTGCACTCAATATCTTATGTTGCATTGGCACTGTGTTTCTGCCTTCCTTACAAAAGTAGTAGCATCAATCAACCTTTTTTTGATTCTGGGATACCTTAAGGTGAGATATTAAGCTACAAATGGAGAAGTGAAAGCAGGAAACTGTAACACAACTTTATCAAAAATCCATTCTAACAGCAATATTGTTATAATGGCAGCAATTGATTGTACCTGCTATGCACTGAAGCTTCTAGCCAGAGGGCTAGCATC